CATCAAAAAACGAAAAAATGTAGCTGCATCTCTGTGCGTATTAACACGCATGCCTTTAGACCATCCTGATTCGAGAAATGAACACAAACGACGGTGGCATATTTGGAACAGCACCATGTTGCAGCTAGAGTGAGAAAAGCTCAAATTTAGTTTATAGAAAATTTTACAAATTTTTGCTAGGAACTTACTCCTTCGATGACACCGATTCTAAAGTAAAAGAGGTTATCGCGAAGTAGTATAAATTGAAGATTGTTTAAATTGTGAATATCATTGAGGGGATATTCTAATAATTATAATGGATTACTATTTGACACAAAAGTAACCAGAGGGTCACTATCACTTTTGTTCCAGTATTTAGGTCCAGGGCCTCCTAAATTCAAAGATTGTAGGAATCCATTATCTCGCCGTTTCATGATTTTAGCGGCATCGAGTATTAATTAAAAATAAAACACATTTCTATGCCTAACTGAACTTTATTTTTTGCAGAAGAGCATTGAAGCATGCAAATATCTATATGTAATTCTACTGTCCTAAAAGCTTATGCTTATAGTTTTCTGACTATACCATAACTAAGATTCTATTGCCGCATATATAAGCAGAATGGCGTTCAATACAGTATTAGAACTCTAAAAAGCGGTCTGGTGGATTAAATTGACGAAACCTCTGGGAGAACTCTTTACTGATCATTCAAGCCCTCACTCCTAATTTTTCATAGTAGTGAGAACAGCTTGCTTTATATGTGAAATAAGCATTCGTACAGATGTACCAGGCTGTATCAAAAGTTCGTTCCCAAAGCGGAAGTCCAATATAAAATAAAATTATCCAAATATATATGGTAATTTAAACCAACAACCCCATATTGTATATAACTTATATCAAGATTTTCATGTTGTATAATAGAAACACATCTGTAAATGATTATACGCATGATTGACATGTGTCATTACATCATCATATGTAATGTACTTTGTACAAACTGAGGATAAATAAATAAAACTCTGTAATAGATTAAGAGTTGAGCTGAAGCAAGATATAGAAGTCAGAAACGTTTAAAATCGAGATAGATGGAAGTCACAAAACAACATCTAAAGATAGATTGGAAACTGTCAGGACGGCGCCAGTTTAGAATTTCACCAGACTATCCACCCTCTTCACATCTGGTGAAATGCAATGCTCCCTTTCTCAGGAAAGATATATATATAAGGCCCCCGTCTTAACCTATAAATACAGTCACTTTACAGTCACTTGACAGTCACTTCACCATCTGTGTGAGCCCTCGTCGGTTGTACCCCAGGTCCACCTCATCCACCATGTAGACCAGTAAGAACTCTTTCATCTCCATCTTTCGCTCCTAGCTCAACTTTTATCTGTTCACGGAACTTTCTTAGTGCAACTGTGTCTTCGTTTTTTTGTGTATGGGCATTCCCAAGCTTTCCACTCTGCCTCGACCACGACTGCCTGTACTTTGTGAGAACTTTTAAAGGTCTTCTAAGGTGCAGAGAGGTACTGGAAAACTCCCCATCCTGACTGTTCCTCTCGGTCAACACAGTATAGTGAGAATCAACAGGATCTCATCACATTTTAAGTCGACAGGATTCTATAAGAGGCTACCAGACCTCACCACATATATATACCAATATAAATAAAGTTTAAATAAATAAATGTTCGATCCCACGGTCGATGAGCGTGATCACGTGATTGTGATAAGGTAATAGGGTTTAGAATAACATATCAGTGTTATAGTAGAGAGCTAAAGAATGTTTGATCAAAGAATAACGATCCGAGTACTATTGCGCTTCTTTTGGAAAAAATGACTAAATACAAATATGGCGGCAAAAGAAATATGCGAAGTGGAAGGGAAAGGAATATTCAATAGAAAAACAGCTTCCTAATGGTTCAAGAGATTTAGAGAAGGAGACATCAACCTTGAGGACAGATCTCGAATGGGACGGTCACATGTGACGGAATTGAGACCCTACGATTTCTGGTGATGGACAACCCACAACATATATACTATATGTAGACAGCGAGAATTAACTATTTATACCACTCTATTGTAATGATATCCGTTAAATTACATCGAAACAATCCATTTCGTTGATCATCTCTGAACAAAAAGCAAAGATTTGGACGTAAGAATATGACACTAACTTTTGTAAATTCAGACAAAAGCCAATTTGTATATCATGATTTCGGGTTATGACCATCTTCAGTACAGAGGCAGTATTGATTTCCTCTAGCATCCAACTGGAAGATCTGTAATTAAGTTGTTTAGCTGGTGAAGGGCCAATTTTGTGACATATTGGGCAAAACGGGTCTTTTTATCCACCAGTAAAACTTCGACAAACGCCAACTATTGTCTTTATTTAAGAAACATCGGGGATTATTCTTATTTATAGTAAACCTGTCTTAAGCGGCCACTCAAAGGCAAGAGACGAATTGACCGGATAAAAAAGGTTCTCTCTTAATAAGACCTTAATGTACAAGTCTTGTACAAGTAGTTATAAATTAAAACTTTAAAAAATGGCAACAAAACTAAACATTAAAACAGCAAGTAGGTAAACAGCGTGGTAAGTTTCTTTATTGGGAACTACGAGCTTTCGGACATCAGCTGCCCTTCATCAGGTACAATGGGTGGTTGGAAAAAGTGAACCAATATATAAATGCAGTAAATTAGCATAAGAGAAAGCTAACTAACATCTATTTAAAATAATTAAGAAATTTACATAGGAACTAAAGATAAAAGTACGAAATTTCTAAAAAATACGAAATTTCTAAAAAATAGACTAAAAATCTGTATATGACGGATAAAAGGTAAAACACGAGAAAAAAGGATGGGAAGACAAGAAAAGCGTAGGCATCTAGGCACAATGAAGGAAGGAAGCGAAATAAGATGTCAGTGGCCAAGTTTAGAAAAAGCAGTATATTGAGGGGGGAGATCTATTTTTCTATTAAAACTAGGGATGGAGTTGGACACGAGAGCCTCCAGGACCAAACGTTGATATTTATTCTTAACTTCGCTGTATACCGGAATCGTGTTGCGTAGATTAAAAGAGTGGTTAAATTCATATTTTTTCTCGTGTTTTACCTTTTATCCGTCATATACAGATTTTTAGTCTATTTTTTAGAAATTTCGTATTTTTTAGAAATTTCGTACTTTTATCTTTAGTTCCTATGTAAATTTCTTAATTATTTTAAATAGATGTTAGTTAGCTTTCTCTTATGCTAATTTACTGCATATATATATTGGTTCACTTTTTCCAACCACCCATTGTACCTGATGAAGGGCAGCTGATGTCCGAAAGCTCGTAGTTCCCAATAAAGAAACTTACCACGCTGTTTACCTACTTGCTGTTTTAATTTATTGAGCGTGGCTATATTATGTCTGATCAAAACTAAACATGTAATAAGTTTTACATTGAAAGGAGATACTCTTTCAATATCTAATTGTGTTACTATTGATTGTTTTTGTTTACAAAAATCTATGTTAATTCATTTATTTTTATAAAATTTGTCACTATAAAAGGTTAGTTGAGAAAATATAAAAAGAGTATATAATTAAATCATTGGAACATGTTGTGATGTTAACTATGCTACGAATGATAGGTTTCCATTTAAGATAGGCTTTCACTATGAAGAAAAATGTAAAAATAAAAATATATAATAAATGCTAAGTTATTGGTTGATAGTCAGAACAGAGGTAAGCCCACGAACGCAAACCGCAATTATTATAAAAATGAGACATCGTTGATATAATATTATTTAAGAAAAAGGCATCTTATTTTTTCTTAATTTATATACATTATATAATATTAGTAAAATTTCACATTTGTACTATTTTTTCACGTAGTATTATTTGTTTAAAGTATCTCATAAATATATAGTAACTAGCCGAATGACCCGGGCCGCCCGCGTGGCAGGCGAGCATTCTACCACTGAACCACCGATGGTTATGAGAAATGGCCATATTTGGGTATTTATTCCATTCACAAAAGCAAACGGTGACAGAATTGATTAAGAATTGTTGCTTGATGACTCTGATACTTGTATATTTTAATTAAATTATTGCTGATATTTATTAAAAAGGACATTGGTAAAAATTCGAATTTGTACATTATAAATAGTTAATATATTGCTCCACAGATGGCGCCTACATACGGATCAAAAAGTTATTTATATTGGATCGAAATGAAGCCGTGACTAGAACTTTACACTACTGCTGGAAAACCAACCTCCAGGAACCCGGGTTATATCTAATCCTCTCTCTTGAAGCGATATCTCTTTTTGATAAACGAATTCCTCGAATAATAATTATCGCTAACATTTGAAATTCAATTAATCACAGAAATATTCATCGTCAATCATTATTTACATAAAAACTGAAACAATTTAGCGCAATTATTAATTTCAAATAAAACAACTTCGTACTGTATCCTTACTGAATTAGATAAATATTGAAAAAAAGGGCTTAGTCTTTAGTGGTGAGCCATACCAGTGGCCATATTAATAAATAATCTTCTGGGAAAGTTCATCACTGATGAGACAGTCTCTCCCAATATTTTCTATCGCATTAGAGACAGTAAAAGTTGTTTTATTTGTAAATAATTCACGCTAGTTTAGAGCTCCATCTATATATCAAAAATGAAACTATTAATTTTATCCCCCATTCCCTTATTAATTTGGAAGATGAAACTACGAGAGAGTTATGATGCCATGAATACAAAAGAGAAGCTACTATATATAGATCCAATCTGTACCATATATTATATAAACACTACATTTATCTTTGATAATAATAATAATACTTATAAATGACTGCGGCATATAATTATAAAGCTATACAACCAGTTTAACCGCATAAGTTTCTTTTATTTATGAAAAATCATTTTTAATTTCAAAGAGAAATAATTTAATATTTCTAACTTTTGGATGACGTATGCCGCAGCCATTTATAAGTATTATTAGTCAGTTTAAATATTAGTTACGAACGGAGAAATATCGTCCAGGATAGCCTAGTGGACATGGCACCTGCCCGGTAAGCAGAAGGTTGTGGGTTCGATTCCCGCGTCTGGACACTTTTATTTTTCCGTTCGCCATTACTCTTCATATTTTTCACCCTCCATACGTCATCCATTCATATATAGACCATCACTCTACATTTATTCAACCTTTTCATACGTCATCCAAAAGTTAGAAATATTAAATTATTTCTCTTTGAAATTAAAAATAATTTTTCATAAATAAAAGAAACTTATGCGGTTAAACTGGTTGTATAGCTTTAATAATAATAATACTTTTTCGATGTGTGAAAAGGGAAAGGAAACGGGAAATGGACCGGCCTTTAAAATGAATAAAAAGATATATATAACTTGTGACCATTAAAATTCATTCACTCATATATTTTAAAGGTTTTTAATCTTTGCTATTCCTTATCTGTTTTATAACGTAAACTTTAAAACGTTAATTTTCAAGATATAATAGAAAGGGAATTTAAGTGATATTTCATATATAAGTGATATTTCAGGATATAAAAGTGTGTGTGTCTCTCTATTAGATTTAATAATAGGTTTATATATAGCTGGTGCCTTGGATATCATTAAATATATATAGTAATCTGTATACTCGAACCTTTAATGAATAACAGACATTTCAAGATTATTTATCATCATCAAAATATATGTTATTGTTTTGGATGCATAAAATGAACGTTGCTGCTAATATAAATAAAAATAAGAGCTAAATAAAAGATTCTGAAAATGATAGATAAAATAATGTGAAAAAACAATAGGAAAATAAAATAATAAAAAGGTCAGGTTTTGATATTAAAAATGAAAAAGAAATTGGATTGACCAAATATCAGGAAACAGGCTAAATCAATGTTTAGTTGATTTCTGTTCCACCAGATGGCGCTCTGCCTTCTGAAAAGCACATATGCTCCTGGTCAGGATATGCCTTTATTATTTTTAACATAAAATAATGTGTGATTCTTGAGGTAAATAATCTACATTATAAAAGTTTAAAATTAATAATTAATTAATAACGATACATTCAAAAGGAAAAGCTTTTATTTAAATGCACTAAAAGGGAAAAAATAAAATATTGTATCTTCTGTCATTGAGCAATTACCAGGTCTATTAGTATGAAACGCGAAAATGGGCGCCAGAGGCCGCTGTGCAACTTTATTTGAGCCGACGGTGGCGCTGTTGTAGGCGTTTTGTACTTTGACTCATGTGGCATCAGCATGCCTGCAGTTTTAGAAAAATTCAAATCGTGAAAATTTTCTGGAGCCGGTGGAAAATGGCGATTTCCGAGCCAAAAAGTGCCCATTTGCGGGAAGTTTTGTTGTTCGCCTTCAACTGGAAGAAAAGTGCCACTGAAGCCCACCGAATGCTCGAGGAAGTTTACAGCGACCACGCTCTGAGCAAATCGCAGTGTTACAGGTGGTTTAAAAAATTCCAAAGTGGCGATTTTGAACTTGATAATGAACCACATGGAAAACCGCCCCAAAAGTTCGAGGACGCTGAACTGCAAGCTTTGTTGGATGAGGACAGTACCCAAATGCAGGAGAAACTCGCAAAACAGCTCCAGGTGTCACAAGGTGCTGTTTCTCTACGTTTAAACAGCCTCGGAATGACCCAAAAGCTTTTCAGATGGGTCCCCCACGAGTTGAGCGAAAGGCAGCAATAACGGCGTCTGGTAACCTGCGAAGGGCTGCTCGCCAGGCATGAAAAGAAGTCATTTTTGCACCGAATCGTAACTTCTGATGAGAAATGGATCCACTTCAGCAATCCTACGCGCCAAAAGTCGTGGGGCCTGCCCGGCCAATTTCCAAAACAGACGCCTAGGCTCAATCGCTTCGGAAAAAAGGCAATGCTTTGCATATGGTGGGACCAGACCGGCGTAGTATATTTCGAGCTCCTGAAACCTGGCAAAATGGTCAATACTAGTCCCTACGAACAACAAAGGCACAGTTTGAGAGAGGCGTTGAATGAAAAAAAGACCGGAATGGCGTGAAAAGCACAACAACCTGATACTGCAGCATGACAACGCTGCAGCCCACAACGCTACGGTGGTCAAAAACACCATAAAAGACTTGGGTTGGGAACTCTAACCCCACCCGCCGTACTCACCAGACTTAGCGCCGTCGAACTACCACCTTTTCACATCTTTAGGACACGCCCTAAAAAAACAGGAGTTTTCGAACTCAGACATACTCCGAAATTGACTTGTTGACTGGTTCGACTCAAAAGGAATAGAAATTTTCAGACAAGGAATTCGAAAATTGCCTGAAAAGTGGTCCGAATGTATAGCTAATCAGGGCAGTTACTTTGAATAAAAAATCTTTTGTTGTATGGAATTGGTGAACTTTTGAATTCACTGAAAATTTTCGCGTTTCATACTAATAGACCTGGTAGATGTATCTGAGTGAAAATAAAAGCGGCGGGAGACGATCATCATGAATTTCGAACCTAATGTGATTTAATATGTAGCAAATGATTAGTGACTTTTATAAGTGTTTGCTATATTTTTACCTCTTCTCTATATGTGATTGTCCCCAGCCGCTTTTATTTTCATTCAGATACATCTTGTTAAAACTCATGGAATATTGTATGTATATATGTAAATATTACAACTATTTTCATATTTTTGGTTTTTGTGTGTGTGACCCCTCAGCGAAGGGGAATCTATTTTTTGCTGTTTCTTCTCCTCTTTTCACACACCGCCCCCCCCCCCCCTGTCGAGAGAATGTAATCGTCCGCCTGCCGGATGGACAGTCCAAGTACCCACCGACCAATCGGAGGGGCATTGGGGTCAAAAAGGTCAGGGCGCGCGGCCAGAGTTGGTGTCACAGCTGTGCCAAGTAGACAAGAATAAAGCTTCGCGGGGGCTTGCCCAAGATGAGCTCCTGGAACTTCGTCCATCTTCCATAAACGACCATACAAGCGGTCTGAGAAGGGACTGGGTGGCGGACATCTCAAAGAAAGGTGAAGCCGAGACGAATCGTTGAGAGATTCGCAAAGTGGTTGGAGTACGTCGAGAGCGACGAATTGTGCTTCATCTGAAGATACCAGGAAGTTCGTCGAGAACGACGAATTGTGCTTCCAAGGCAGGGGGGCTCGGGCAAGCCGACATAACAACTGAGAGGAACTATTTTTGGTGAGCACTCTCTCACATACTTTTATTTCCTAAAATTGATATATTTTTTATGTTAATCTAGCATTATTTTTTAGTGTTTTTTTTTCTTTTCTTATTTTTACTAAGTTTTTCTATTTCTCGTCAATATCATCATTTTATATATATTTTTTTGTTAAAAAACATTTTAAGTTGCATGCAAAATTTTGGAATACACAAAAATAATAAGTTTTTCATATATTTTTTATCCTTCATTTTTATAGCTATCAAAAAATTAAACAAAAGCTTTATATGTGTAGCCTTTTGTTGTCTTCCTTTTTTCTTGCTTGAACACCCAAGGCAGCCCAAAACAATATCAAACTTTAGGTTAAAGTTTTTATTTGTTAAAAAGGGGGTTTGTGGAGCGTTCCGAATTTTTATTTTCCTCCACGAGCTTTTTTAATTACCCCTTTCTTAACATTTTATTTTGGCGTTCTCGGGTGGGCTGCATTGGCTGGTCAAATCGAGAAAAGGAAAAAAAAAAAGAAAAAAGAAAGGCTTCTAGGAATATTATACAGTAAATAATGCAGAGTATTGATACATTAAAAAGGGCTAGAGCCCCCAAAAGAGCTATTTTTACTCGGCTGTCCACCGAGTTTTGGACTGAAATAGAAAAGCCAGATTTCGATGCAGAAAAATATAGAGCTAAATATAACCGAATTTGTGCTCTCTCTAAGGAAATAAGTGAAATTGATTCAAGGTATCAGGGGCTCCTTCTGGAGGATGAAACCATAACGGAGGTCAAAATCGAAGAAGAATTCGAGGGTTGTGAAAACTATGTTCAAGGGATGTTTGACATAGAAAATAAATATTTGTCTCGGTGTGAAACCGCGAGGGTTAGGGTCGACGGCTCATTGGTGGAGTCCGCGGCGAATTCGGTTGTAAATACCGAATCTAAAAGAACTATTATGTTGCCAAAAGTAGAGCTACCAAAATTTAAGGGCAACCTAGAGAATTGGCTCTCATGATGGGGGCAATTTAGAAATATTAGTGACGATGAAACTCTTGAGGATGTAGATAAATTTCACTATCTGCTACAAGCGGTAGTCGAGGGATCCAGAGCTCAACGTCTTGTGTGCAGTTACCCTATTACTGAAGATAATTATCCCAAGGTAATACAAGCATTGAAAGATAGATTCGGAGATAAGAAGCTTCTCATAGAACACTATATAAGGAGACTGTTGAAACTGGTTGTTTCTAGTGCAAGGAAAGAAAACATTCCTCTTGACGAGATCTATGATGATCTAACGGCTCACTTAAGGAACCTAGAATCACTGGGTGTAAACACGGAGATGGCAGGCGTGTTTCTCTACCCATTGGTTAAGTCGAGTCTGCCATTGGACATTATTCAAGTGTGGCAGAGGAATCCTGCTGTGGGCTATGGGATAAAGGAAGAAGGAGCGGAGAATGGAGATAAGAGCGATGCCGGCGGTAGACTACAGGCTCTGATGGACTTCCTTCGGGATGAGGTGAAAGACGCTGAGCGAATGGCATTTGCTAAGGAGAATTTTGAGGGTAATATCTCAATGAGGGCTACAGGTTCTCAACTAAAGACGCCCCGGAAGACACCGCCCACTGTCTCCAATTTATTCGGCAGCGCATTTAACAGAAAATGCATATTCTGCCAGAGAGATAATCACCTAAGTAGTAAATGTTTTGTTGCTTCGCGTCTTACACCTAGCGAGAGGGATCAAAAGATAAAGGAGGCTAGAGTCTGCTTTAAATGTCTAAAGGGTAACCATCTGAAAAGGGAATGCCGAGCAGACATAAAATGTAGAAATTGCGGAAAAGATCATTTAGATATCTTTTGCAATAAAATTGCCTTGAGGCAAGGAGGAAACAATAGTTTCAAAGGTGAAAAATCTAAGGTTGTTAATGAAGGAAATGCAAGATGCACGGGTGT